TATATATATATATATATATATATATATATATATATATATATAGCATAGTAGTTTGGATAAAGGTTATAGCTAGTTTTTCATGCGGGGAAGTAATTCATGGATTACAGAAAACGACAATTCTCTTCGATTCTTGAACGTATCCCTTTGATTTTCTTTCTATTTATGCTTATTGTCATCAAACCAACACATCAGGCCCAAGTTCGTCAATGCCCCATTGCGTATACTCTTACAAACAATAAGGCCCAAAGTCTCCCACCCCGCAGTCCAGCACACCACACCAAATTCCCAGTCCAAAACACCACCGACAATGACTGGCCTAACCCGATTACAGAGACGACTAGCCGTTCGATTTTCCCATCCAATATTTTCCTCTCCTCCAAAACTCCGGCGCACCGGTTTTTCTTTTTCTTTTTTTCCCCTTAACACTGAACGTTTTCCGAGTACCTTAACTTGCCGCCGGCCAACCACTTCGATCCCTTGATATTTCAAATAAATTCTGCCAACTACAGAATCTACTTCCATTCACCTTTCAAAACTCATTAACTTCCATAAACCAAACGCATTGCTACATTTTAAACTTCACCTTCCATTAATATTTCAGCTTTCTACAGTTTTAAATCGCCATCACAGTCGTTCTATGGCCTGGAGATCAGGTTATTATGCCATGTGCTTGCACCAGTCTTTACTTTTCAAGATTAGGTTTCTTCCTCTTTCAATTTTTCCCGTCTTCTGTTCCTTTGCATGTCACTCGGCTTCAAATGCTCCACACTGGCGTTCGTCTTCAACCATTTATCAGCTTTGGTCATGGTTAATTAACTTTTCTGTTGATGTTCATATTTGTCCTTTGCCCATTCTTTTTATCTTTTTTCTCTTGTACAGGATGTTTTATTACAAGCTTTCCGGACATCACTATGAGGATGAGATTGGTAATGGTTTAAATTTATTTTTTATTTATAAATATATTAAAATAATATTTTTTATTTTTTAAAATTATTGTTAAGATTAGCACATCAAAATCAATTAAAATATAAAAAATTAATTTTTAACAAAATAATTCAAAATATGAGAAAACATGGTTTCAACCACTTTCTCAAATAAACCCTTAAATCTGGTTTTGTATTGTGAGTGTGTTTAAAAATATTATAGTGGTTGTGATTTAAAATATTTTTTTTATAATTATATTAAAATCATATTTTTTTATTTTATTAAAATTATTTTTGACATTAACATATTAAAAAGATCTAACAACGTAAAAATTAATTTAAAATAAAAAAATTTAAATTTTGAAAAAATATAGTTTGAATCACATTCTTAAATAGGCTTTGTAAAGTAATTGCTACCGTATATTATTTGTAGATATTTAAGAGTGTGATAACAGTTATTTTTAAAGTATAATTTTATTAATAAATATATTATTTTTTATTTTAAAAATTATTTTTTATATCATTACATTAAAAAAATATATAAAAAATTAATTTCAAATAATTTTTTAAAAAACATTTGTCCAAATCTTTTTTGGAAAGCAATACCAAACATGAAATTAGAGTTGATTTTGTATCACGAAGCTATTATTTTTTAAAATATTTTATATTTAAAAAATATATTAAAATAATATATATGTTTTTAATACTAACACATCAAAAACAATAAATAATTTAAAATAAAAAATTAAATCTTTTTTAAACAAAAATATGCAGTGTTTTATTGAAAACTTAACGCTAAAAACAATTTTCTATACAATATTAAACGAGGCCCGGTAGAATATCATGTTGGATGCCAGTTGTCACTTTCAATAAGATAGGTATATCTCCTCTAATATAACATATAATGAAAAAAAAATAAAACTAGGATTCTTATACCTTCGGTCTTCTTCAAGTTCTATCATAAAAAAGACAAATAAAAAAAATTAAAGATACTAAAATAAAATAAAGGCTTTAGGATAGTTGTAAAATGAATTTTTATTCTTTCAAAATAAATTCATCCTTACTGTATTTGTCTCTTTTATGTTAAGACAATAATCAAATATTATTTAGGTTTACTAATCTAAACTATTTAAAAAACTCTAATGTATTTTGAAAGGTATTTATTGCATAAATTTTGATTCCTTCAAATAATACATAATTGCTTATAAAAATCTTAAAATTGAACAATGAATCTATTTAGAAAAACCAAAACCAAAAATTTCCTAACTCCTAATAATAATAATAATAAAACAAATTAAAAATTTATATCCTAAATAAAAAAATACAATAAAATTGCATTTCATAGATCATGGTGATTGTTATCATATATGGTTGTTTTTGTTAGAAAACCTTGTTAACATGTTTTGTTAATGTGATCCATAATTAAAAGAAATATGACATGAGTTAGGTTGCTTGAAAAAAAACTCATCCTATTAATATTCAAAAACACATCAGGAAAGTACCTAACTATAGAAATATCTTATTAACATTCAAAAACACATTAGGAAAGTACCTAACTATAGAAATATTCAATATCTTTACCCTTTTTCTTTTTTTACCTCCAAAGTATATGCTAAATAAACCATACATCCTTTCTTCAATAACTTTTGCATTGTCATCATTGAAATCATACCACTTGACATTATATTTCTTTCTCCCCTGGACATTACTTACTTTCTTTCTATCACCTGTAAAGTTATTATTGTGCCTAAACAAACCATTTAAGCTTAATAGACACTTAATCAGTACATCCCTAAAATCATATCGAATCCAATCCATCCCTGGTTATAATCCTTATTATCACTAACAACCTCTTACATACCTAATCTATATCCACTATCTCCTCTAGGGGTGTACTAATCACTAATCTTTTTTCCACTTTATTGGGTAATACATTTAATTTCTTTTTAATTCTCGTAGATATAAAGGAATAAGTCACACTAGGGTCAATTAGAGCATATATAGATTGTGAATTCAATAATAATGTACTTGCATCTACATCATTAGCAACTCGAACCTCCTCTTGAGTCATATGAATAACTCTTTTTTGAGTCCTCTCGCCTTTTCTTTTAGGTCTTTCTCTATTTGCACTAGATCAAAACTAAGTTGATCTACTTGGCTTGTTAAGAGTTATTGATTGTTGTTAACTTTGAGTCTGTTGTCTCCTTCCCTAACTCTGCTCAGTATTCCTGCAAGGGCACTCTTTTCTATGGTGCCTAATATCCCTATAATTGTAGTATGAGGAATGCAAATATAGATTCTCCCTCTATTAGCACCCCCCTTGCCTATAAATATAACATTATCTTGGGGAAATTGAACAATTCTGACACATTTAGGGTAAGTAGCGGTCCTTTAACCTTACTCAGCAAACCTTGTTATTGATCCTCACCTGAGACATGCTTGCCCCCTATCAATCCTTATTAGGAGCTTTGATAAGATTTGCTAAATGTAATTTCTAATCCTCA